ACACACACACACACAGACACACACACAGAGACACACACACACAGAGACACACAGACACAGAGAGACACACACACAGAGACACACACACACAGAGACACACAGACACAGAGAGACACACACACAGAGACACACACACACAGAGACACACAGACACAGAGAGACACACACACAGAGACACACACACACAGAGACACACAGACACAGAGAGACACACACACAGAGACACACACACAGAGACACACACACACAGACACACACACACACACAGACACACAGACACACACACACACACAGACACACAGACACACACACACACACAAACACACACAGACACACAGACACACACACAGACCTCCACACCACTGCAGACAGCCTTACAGAGTTGCATAAAGACACCCCTTTAGCTAAAGGCTTAAAGAGGGATATTGAGAGCCATGGAACTGATCATATTCGTGCTGGTTCCTCGCCCTGGCCAGGGTTGCCTGGTGGGATGGGGAAAAGAGCAGCAAGAGGTGACGAAGCTGCAGCAAGAAGTTAAAGAGCTGCAAGGGAGAGTGCCAAGGGCTGCAGGGAGAGTGCCAAGGGCTGCAGGGAGAGTGCCAAGGGCTGCAGGGAGAGTGCCAAGGGCTGCAGCAAGGGCTTGAGCAGGGGTCTGCAGGGCTGCAAGGCAGGTTCAAGAGCTGCACCAAGGGAGTATGGAGGGGCAGCAGGAGTATACAGACCTGCAGGACAGTGGAGGGGGGGAAAAGGACAGGATTCCAACACATAAACTAAAAATGATTGGCAAACAAACAGTAATCAATCAGGCTCTAAAACTTCCAGTCCTCAAAAAGATTGGCAAGATATGTTAAGGTTAATTCAAAACAAAAATGGGGACTTGGAGCTTACCTGTGCTGTTGGGCCAAGACGTCACCCTGGAACATTTGTGGTAGACACAGGAGCACAAGTTTCCACCCTGAAAGCTGATGTAGCTGAACCATGTGGTGTTAAACCAGCTCCAAAGCCAATGTGTGTAAGTGGAGCATTTGGTAACTGTGCTTTACAAAAAGCAGCTGAAAAGTGCCCAAGGGGGGGAGCTGGACGTTGTTCTTAATGTTTTTGTAACAGAAAAAGCCTCCAAGGATGCTGTGGACATTGACACAGATCCCTTTGCAGTCTTCAAGGGCTGTGTGGAGTGGATAACTTTCTGGGAACAGAATAATTGGGAAATTAACAGGGTGCCAGTTTGGCATAAAGAGAAATGGCAGCAAATACTGAAAATTGCTAAAGAGAACCCTAATCTTCATGTAGGGTGGATTCCTTCTCACCAGACTAATTTGAAAAATGAAGCTAGTAAGTGGAATAACTATGTTGATGAGCTAGCTAGGATTGATGTGAAGGAAATCCAAGCAGCTGTCACAGAAGGAGAAAATCAGGAATGGAAAAGATTGCTGGAATGGCTCCATTGTAAGAGAGGCCACTCAGGAATCTTTGATTTATACAAAGAGGCACAAGCCCGTGGGTGTCCTGTGACCTGTGAGCAGTGCAAAACAGTCATTTCTTCATGTGATCTTTGCAAAATCAGACTTGGGGAACATCCCCTAACCAGCACAGAAGACCTTACAACAAATCCCAGACTCCTCTCCACCCTGGACAGACTGTTCTGGCAAACCTGCCAAACATTGGCAAGGTCAAGCTCACCTTACAAACACCAGTGAATCCAAATACGTGGTTTGCATCTGGTTTAAATATAAAACAGCATAAAATCAGTACAAAATGGATAATCCATGTTGAGTAATTCAATGCTTTGTTATCAGTGATGTCTATATATTTATGTTTAGTGATGGTGATTAATATATTGCAGGTCTGACAACTTAAGGAGCCAGAGACATCCTGGCTGCAGCATCAGACTTGATCAACCTGCTACTGACTAGGGGAGGGTTTACTCTGTGACCTCTATGTAACTGATCACCCCTTAACCTGAACAAGGAACTCTAATTCATCATGTCTCCTTTAACACTTGCCCTGAAGTTGTTGTCTGCAATGTGTTGTGTTGTGTGGGTAACACCCGGGTTGGTTAATATGCCAAAGGACACATTAGTACATGAGCCCTGGAACAAAAATCTCTTTGCTAATTTAGGACAAAATGTCAGCGATGCTTTAGCCTTAAAGGACTGTTGGGTGTGTGGGTCTCATCAGGGGTTCACAGAGTGGCCCTGGATGGCCCACCCTGTCCATCCTAAATGGATGTTACATCCTAACTCCACGACAAGGATGTCTAGAGAGCCCATTGTGTGGGAAGAAGGTGCCCCTGCCTGGGACCTTCACTATGTACCAAGAGGAGAATTTTGCATTAAAAGAAAGTTGACAGATAAAGAAATCAGAGCAGGAAATGGAAGGGTACTGGGCTATTCTAATTGCAAATACCTGCTTGTTTCAGTGAACTGTTCAGGGACACCTTTGCATGATGATGCCAGACACATTTGCAAGAAAGGCTACGGTGACTCGGGGCATAAACAGCTCCATTACATCCTTTGGCAGGACCAGTCTGGCTACCCTGTCACTTTCAAACATTATTGGTCACCAATTGATGATTCTCAAACGGCTCATCATGCTCAGGCCAAATGCCATCCTGTGGGAGGAGTATGGCAATGTAAGCAGCCTCAGGAGGCAACGTCTCCCGTTCGTTGGGAAGACACGTATTATTACGACAACCGTCCTTTCCAAGGCAACGTGTTTGCTATCAAGGGTCATCACTTCATCTGTGGGCACCAGGCTTTCCAAAGGCTGCCACGGGCGTGGGAAGGCACGTGCTACGTGGGGACAATCCAGCCTTATTTTAAAATCTTGCTAAGCGATGTTTCCCCCTACTTAAAATTGACTAGAGCAAGAAGATCCGTAGTAAACTTAGACGTGGCACATTCTGATCCTCAAAATTGGAAAGGAGAGGAATGGACCCCAGAAGAGATCATTAAATATTATCATCCAGCAAAATGGAATCCCTGTGAGCTCATTAAAGGGGCACGTGACCCGATTTATAACCTGAATCGCATCATCAGGCTCCAGGCAATGGGAGAATTGGTGGCCAGTGACACCAGCCAAGCCCTGTCCCTGGCAGCAGAGGAACTGACCCAGTTACAAGCTGCCACGTATCAGCACAG